ATTATTATTATTATTATTATTATTATTATTATTATTATTATTATTATTATTATTATTATATTAGACATAATACAATTAATATTAAAATCATTATTTATAATTTCATTATTTATATTTATAAAGTATTCTGATTTTTAAGTGTTACATGCATATATTATTAAATATTTTTATTATAATTTTATTTTAAATTAGCGATATATCGATTCTTATACGATCATATTAATAAAATGTATGTTTTAACTTTTGATAAGAAATATTAATTTAATTTATATAAATTATTAATAAATAAACTTAATTTGTAAAGATCATGATTGGTATATTGTAAATATAATTTAGTTTTCTTTTTTTCGTATAATTCAAATTAAATATTTTATTTAATATTTTATTTTTTTTATTATAAAAAATATCTTTATATATATCTTTAAATATTTTTATTATAATCTTTATCAAATTTAATAGATTAAATTTTAATTTTTTGAAAGTTTTTAAATTTTTATAATTCATCGACTATTTATAATCTACATATACTTGTGCAAGAATTACATAAAAGGAAGATCATAGTACAATACAAAGATTAATGCATAAAAACAGTTTACATTTTCCGTATCAAACATCGATATTTAATAATTTCCAAAAAATTGTTTAATTACATAAATAAAATAATAAAAAGAACGGTTAATTTTTATCAGTAGATAAAAATTTTTCCCGCGGTATACATACCGACTTGACTATTGGAAAACAATGGGATTTATTTGCCAATTAGACAATTAGGTCGGCTGAAAGGGCGCAGAGTAGCACGAGCAACCGAAACTTTAGTGTACTACGAATCCAAATTATACGGTCCAGTGCAAAGTGTTTGACGAGCATATATATATACGCGATTAATGTTGACCTTCTGGCTTCAGCCAGCGGGATTCTGCGTGCAAATTAACGATGTTTGTTCTCAACCCTTTGGCCTGCCTTGATTCACCAATTTTATTGCGCCGCTCTCTGATCGTTAGTTGCACTACTTTCTTTGTGCATGTGATTTAATTTTGAGTCTTGAACGTTTGTAAAATATTGTAAAAGATAGGTTATAGGACATTCTATTCATTATTCTGATCTTTTTTGTCTATGTATTTAGGAGTTTAAAAAAATATTAAAATGAATTAGATTCACAATCAATTACTATATTATAAATAAAAGTAATAGATAAAAAAAACAAAATATTTTTATATAAAATTATGATAATTATTAATATTAATTAATATTAATTTCTGTATGTAGAATATATATGAATATATATCCGTTAAAATAGATATAAAGTAGATTATTAATTTTAATTAGATTACAAAATTTAACCAAATCTCCGTATTCGTTTTGCACGACACGTGCTCTCCGTTGACCGCTCCTTTTTCGAAATCATTTCCCGTAGATAGAGTCTGGTTACGCGGTTTCTGCTTATTCGGCAGATGACCGGACGTGACGTCACTGGAACCATGCGAGTGTTGATTGCAGATGCCAGATGCGACCCGATACCCGGTTTCTTTTGCCTTCCTTCTCCTCGCGAAACCACCTCGCGGATTATGCCGCGGCTTCGCGTTACGTGATGCTTTCGTTTGATCGTGTTTCGTGTCAAAATCTACGACGCATAATTTTAAACATATGAATATAACGTATAATATAATATAAAATATTTATTATAAAATTAAAATTTTTATTTACCATAATAAAAAATTATTATAAAATAAATATATTATATTTATTTTCGTTAGGCTTCAAAAATTTATTTCAAACATTATAACTAAAACTGAAAATACATTATATTAAAAATATTTTTACTGATATTTCAGAAACTAAAGCTGAATAGCGGAATGAAAAAAAGATATTCAGAATCTTGTTTTTGACAACATATTTCAAGGTCATTAAATTCGATAAACTATCTTTTCTGAATTAATCAAATTTTTTTTTATTTGTTAGAAAGATAAAATAAGGAATTTGAAAAATTTATTAATTCGCTATTGGGATAATTTTAATTTAACTAATTGCGCAGTTGACTTATGCGCAACAATCGCATATATGTCTTTCTTGTATTATAATCTATGTTCATCATTCATTAAATATATCTGCACAATTTAAAAAATACTTAATTATTACTTAATTACTTATTATTTATTACTTAATTACTTTAATATTATTTTTATTGTTAGGTTCTTCAACTATTTCAGAAAATAAGCATTATCACGATATTATTTCACGAGAGAAAGAAATTAAATACGAAGTACGAAGGTCACTATTTTGAAGTCAAGGCGATGAAGATTTCGCAGATCGTGCGATGCAATGTGATCAGTGACTACAATTAACAAACAAAGACAGAATTATATTGTGAATCCGTTTATTAATAAGACTTTACCAAGAATTAAGTGATTTCGAGAAACGAATTGAATTATGCGAATGTTGCTTCTTTATAATTTCTATCTTATTAAGATTGATGTCTCGTGTAAGATGTCGTTACAATCTATCTTTATTGTTCAACATATTGCGATATCTCACGTTTGTACGAGACATTTATAGAGACATCATTTAATTGAATCCATGATGGATTGTAAAATGGTTGAATTTATTTCATTAATAATATAATAATATTATATTTCATTTATATATGTTTTTTATTTATTTATTTTTTTTTGTATTTAACGAAGAATATTGACACATGTATTTACATATTTAACTTTTCTTTAATATTAGAAATATCGAATAAAAATAAATTATTTGTTTATTATTTGTTACGCAAAATTTAAGCTATGATATTAAAAAAAAATTTTAATCACTACACTATTTTTATATTATAATAAAACTTGTTATATATATATGTTTGATAGATATTATTATACGATTAATTTTTTTTTCTCATAGTTAATTAAATATTAGAAAATAGATAAATAGAAAATAATAAGTGTTATTAAAAAAGAAATTATAAAAAATATGGATCAACAATCTAAGAAAGATTGATTTATTAAAGAAAATCAATGTTTACTTATCTTGAAAGAATCGCAAGGAGATAAAAGGCATAAAAAGTGCTAGCAATAGGGGAGATATTGGCTATTAAATTTAATAGCCAGGAAGAGAACGATAGTTTCTTCTTCTCTCTTCTTCGTCTATTTCCCCTTCAGCTTTGCTAAAACAATAAAAACCTGCCATTAATAACCGGCGTGGTGACAAATATGACGGAACTTCCGATTTAGCCCGGAAGTTGCTAAATATACCAGCGCTTAGTTTCATTCTTCACGACTCTCCGTTTCTTCGTTTTCGACTGGCCGGATGCTTTTTTCGATATTTTACTTTATCTTCTTCTTTCGACAAACTATATTTAATAAAAGAAATAAAAGCCTAAAACATTAAAATAATTGCATTGCAAATTTTTTAATGTAACGTTTGATTAAATAATAAAATATTATAATAAGAATTGTATGTAAAAATTTTACATGAATACGTTCAATGTGATACTTCCTTTTCTTTCTCTCTTTTCAGAGAACGACTTATCGCTTGCGAAACAGAACATTATGTTTTTAATCACGGCGACACAAATACGATTCGATTGTTCTGCAGACCGATACACAACGATGATCCGAGAATAATTGAGGCACGAACGGCAAACAGATCTGCATCCTAACTGCTAGAGGCGGGGTATGCTGCTGCTTTTTTCCCCCTTTCCTCCACCTTTATCAACCCACGCTCCATGACCGTGGCACGATCTCTACTTCATTGTCATCTGTCATCGCGCCGCGAACAAATGAGCGTCTCAACAGTCGGCAGACAAATGACTCCAAGGATTATCCGGCGAACGCTCTTCGTCTTTTTCCCTTTTCCCCTCTCGCCACCGTCAAATTTCCTTTCTCCCTTTCTCATTCTTGCCAATTTCTTCTCTCTTTTCTATTGTCGTTGCCTTTCTTCTTCTTTCGCTCTTCCCAAATTCTTCTTTTCTTTCTATGTCTTTATTATTTCCTTTTTTTTCTTTCTGTTTTTTTTTCTTGTTTTTTTCTTTCATATCCTTTTCTCATTTCTTTTCTCCATCAATTTTTTTTCATACTTTTCCTTTTTCATTTTATTTTTTCTTCTTATGAATGAATCAGGATTTATTCTAATACGATAATCGACCATCATAATTAATTTGTTTCTTTATGATATTTGAAATATTTCACGAATGAATTCCTGGATATTCTAGAAATTGATATTAGCGTGGATGAATTAGGGGTTTTCTCTATAAAAAGATTACAGTTTCAATGCGTGGTTACGAATCGTTTCGTTTCTATTCGATCATTGGAATTTCACTGAATGATTGATTGCGATGATTGAAACAGACGATGGATGATAATTAAAAGTTCGATTAATGCAGTGATTGTTTTATAATTGAAACATGATTGAAATTCTATACGTTTTTCTGCTTTTCGAAATCTATTTTGTTGGGGATAAAATAATAAAAAAGTTATAACGAAATTATTATAAAAAAATAAATTTTAGTTTTGCAATATTTTTGTATTATAATATTATCGATATTAATGTAACATTTTAGGTTATGCAGATTTTTATTAGTTCTCGTTTTTTTGATATTATAAGAATCTAGCATGAAGAATTTAAATCTAAAATTTTTATATTTGCAAAATAATGATACTGATTATTTTTAGATATATCTTAAATAAATACATGTTAAATGATAGATCGCATAAATATATTTAGAATTTTAGAATGGTCCTCGATGCCTGATTAAGACGTGCTATTTTCACTGTAAGATCAGTCATACTGAAAATCACTATTAGCACTATAGTATTTTCTTATCTATCACTTTGATAGTAATTCAAATGTTTCAAATGTTAATTTTAAAAAACACATCAATATTCTTTTAAAATAAATTAATAACAAAATATTTGCAATATTTCGTTCATTACATTTCAGTTTTACATATCAGTTTCATATGTATGTATATAATAATAACTTCTGTATAATTAATAGTTATATGTAATTTCAAAAAATTATGTAATAAGAAATCCATGTAATAAAATAATCAGTACCGATATTAAATTTTTAATATAAATATGTTTTTTACGTGATATTAAAAGTCAATTTTTTGATATGAATGAATCTTTCATAAAATTACTAAATTGTTACTAGATTATTTACTAAATTACGGAATTACTAGATTATTTATTGGATTATTTACTAAATTTCAGAATTATTTATTAAATTATTAAGTTATATTTAACAAACAAAAATAAAATAATATTCAGAATCAAAAAATTCTGTTTCATCAGGAATCAATTTTTATAATTTAGGATTAATAATGAAACGAAATAGTATTATTTTTATTGTTATTGATTCATTATAATTAGCCTTAAGATAAACTTTCGGTAACATTAGACGCATGAAAACAGAATTATCAATTAGTAGCCGAGTTATCGATAACGATTTCAATTGAAAAATTTCAATTTCTCGAATTATTACACATACATAATTTTTCTCGTAAGAAAAACCTTCCTATCGACTGTAGGTGGGTTCATTGGTAGGTTGGCTCGCTGGCTGACTGGTTGGTATCGATGTGCAGGCTGGCAAGCCGGCTATGCTGGCTCAGCACTCTCCCTCGTTTCTCCTTTTTCTTTCCATGAGCAGCCACCTTTACTTCTCTCTCGTAATCTTAGCCTGAAACGCGTTCCATAAACTTAACCTCCTTAGAGTCGCGGTTGATGACTTTTAATTTGCATCTGTAAAGATTACTATTTTCTGACTGTCCAAGTTGCTTTTATATTCTATAATTATAGTGTATATATATACATGCAGATATGAAGATATTTGATGTTTTTGATATTATTATTGAGTTGAAAAATAATGGGAATTGAAAATTTAGGAGAATAGAGAATTGTATTGTAATGTATTTTTCGCTAAGAAGGAATCAGATTGATTCTCAAGTGGAGAAATAAAAATTTGGAAAAATAAAAAAATGGAAATTTATAGAAATAATAATTGAGGAACTTCACTTTGAGTAATATTATATCTCGTATCAAAGTTGTATCATTATAACAAAATTACAGCGAAAAGAAAATATTACATGAGGCATAAATATAAGAGTATAAATACAAGAGTATACAATAATATAATATCGTTATGATTTTTTCATATTAATCTTTCTATCGAACAAAAGAATTCGTTAAAATTGAATTAACGATCGAATATTCCTGTCATATTTCTAAAACGATCTTTTATCGATACATTTTCGACAATTGTATCATTAAACGATAATAAAGGGGATCAGAGTATGCGACTTTAAAAGGATGTATAAATGATAACATGAATGTTATCATTTATATGAACAAAAAAAAAAAGAATGCAAAAATATAGATAACGATGAGGAAGACTACTCTTGCTTCATCGTTTCATTAGGTTATCGATTTAACATCAAATAGCCTTTTATCGAGAAAGAAGCGCACAAAATTATTTTTTGTTTTTTTCAATTCAACGATTAGTAGTACGCGTGTCGCTTTTTTATTTATTAGATTGTTAATTAACTATTAATTACTATTAAATATCAATAATTCTTATTTAAGCCTATTTTCCATTACGTTACGATTTAGGAATATAATATTTATTTCTATTTACTATACTTCAATTATATTATAAATTTATAAAATATATTTAAAAAAATCATCGCAAAAATTTTTACTTTCATTTTTTTGAAGTTCTGAAATTTTTCTTTTTATTTATTATAGGTTATATTATAGGTTATATCCTCGTTAAACCTAGACGATAAACAATCATCTCCAAAACTAAAAAAGAGAATATTGAAGAAGAGAAAGTATCTCGAAATCGTGACTTTTAAATCGATATTATTATATTTTTTTTCTATTAAACGAAATAAGAATACTTTAGCGAATATAAAATTTATTTTCTATCTTCTTTTACAGAAAGAAAATGACAAAATTTTCTTAATTATCTACTAAAAAAGAGTTACTTAGAATTATCATAATAAAATCAAATCGATGAAAAATTGTGGAAAATTTCATTAAAATCGGCGTGTATCGATATTCCCTTGTTAATTAATGATTCAATAATTTCAAAGTTTCGTTTAATACACGAAGAAGAGTAGTAATTTATATATAGGAGATTGGTTGCGTTCAAAAAGAAAGGATAAACAGAGAAAAGTTTTCGATATATCGTAATTTCGTATCGAACGACTAAGAATCTATAGAAGATGGATAAATGGCTGAGATTGGCATTGGAGTTAAGATCAAAAGAGTCATAGCCCAAGCAATTCTTTCGAACGTGGAGTGAAAGAAAAAGATGGAATATGGTCGAACAAAGAGGAGCTGGAACTGTTTGGCTTTCGAATGCAATTGCTTGTCGTAAATCTCGCGGCAAAGTTTGTTGCGAGACCTCCTCTACCAGATAGATCGGTGTCCTTTGACCTGTCATGCAACTGTGATGATGTAATGAGGAAAAGGAACCACTGTCTCGTATTTTCACTTATAATACTGTTTTCCTAATTTTTTCGTGATAGCAAAATTATCCACAAATTGTAATAGAACGATGTTTTCAAATAATAAGTAAAATAAATATAATCTTTCATCTTTTTAAAAATTAACACAACAACAAGGTGAAAATTAAATAAAAATTAATCTATTAATCTATTAATTATTAATAAAAATTATTAATCTATTTAATATGTGTTTTAGATTTTGCAACAAGTTCGTTATCTACGTTTGTTTATAAAAATATTAAATAATATCTATAAATAAGTGATGAAGATATAAAAAAAAAAAATAAAAGTCTGCGAGATATTCTGTATACATAAATAATATATAAAAATGATTTTTAATAAACCACCTTAATTAATTTATTGTTGATCAATGATGAAATAAATACGTTGGACGTACTAAATAACATTGTAATTGATATTTCCAATGTTCGTAAATACGTAGCGAAAATCTTTATTGGCAACTTTAATTATAATTTTCTGTCGTAAGCAACATTGTCCTATTAATTATATCATTTTATAACATGATGTAATCATCTCTAAAGAGCAAGCTTGCGGCAGCATTATCGCTTAAAACTTCTATACTATTCTAAAAATGCAACAAGTTATACACACATATCGTTTGACCTTCACCCCATTCCATTTATAAACTATGCATACAATATTGCAACTATGTAATAACTTTAATATAGTGTTAAATGTTTCGAACCTCCATGCAAGCAAACGAAAATAAACTGCGTTAATAAAATCAATTTCTTTTATCTGTGCCGGAAAAGTGACAAAATTACTACTTAATTTTATTAATTAAATTATTTTAGAGGAAAAAGACTTTAAATAAAGTTCGAATCTCTGTAAGAACGTTGTAAGAATATCAAATTGAAATTTCACGATTTCGAAATTCATTCTATAAACGAATAATGATTCTTTTCTATTCTATTACCAATAACTCGAGTAAGTATAAATTTTAAATTTAATGTTATAAATGTAAATTATAAATTAGGATTGTAACCTCTTTAATCTTAAAATTTTTATTTAGGAATCGTCGTAATTAATTGCGATCATTCAAAATGCAAGAAAATGTTATTTTACAAAAGAAATTCAAAAAAGAAAACGTTACTTGGAACAAGCATACCGATGTCTTCACTTTGCATCGGCCTGTTTCGCAATTTTTTAACCAATTACAGTAATGCTTATTTCTCTTCGCTCGACATTTCTTTAGGACACGCGTTGTCGAATGCAAACAGCCGATTAAAGGTCGTTGCCCATCCGATAATAGAAGGGCATCGAACCACGATACAATAAATATTACAAATATTTCGATCTACTTATTTTAATTTTCCTTTTCAATTTAATTTCCATTTTCAAGATTTTATTGTTGTATTTAACTTGTACTCTTATTAATTATTAATTTCAGCGACGACGAATTTATTATCATGGATGATTGTCAATAGCATCAAATATGAACAACGAAAAGAAGGAATATGAAAGACCAACGTAAAAAGAATCGCGAATTAATAAAATTCCAATCTTTACATTACATGTTTAATCAAATATACGAATTATACTTAAAATATATGAATCATACTTAAAATTGTGAATAACAAACGTTTCGATTGGAGACGAAAGAAGGAAACGTAGGAAACTTTAAGGTCTATCCGTGCCTTTAACCTAGCCTGTGCCAAGGTGACAAGACAGACAGAATTTTGTTGGTCTAGACGGGCGAGTGTCGCAAAGACCCCGGAATAGAACGTGGAGGAGGACGATAGGATTGGCCATTTTGTTGGCCGAGGAATTTGTCGACGCTGCACTTCGATGTCCTCTGCCTGCCGTTTTCTTTTTCATTCCCTCCTCGTCGTCCGCCCTCCGTACTCGATACCAAAAGCGGAGCACAGTTTCGCGATGCGGCGAGTCCGAAAAAAATTTTTTCCAGCGATCGACGTGGCCAACGATTCTCAGAAATTTTTGTACACCGATTTCAGATTCAGAAGGAAAGATTTAAATTATAAAGGAGATCGATTTCTCTGTTACTAATATAATTTTCACAAAATTGGTGTGGACGAGTTTTTCTCATTTCAATGAATTAAATTTAATGGCAAACGAATTTTATTAACGCGTTTTGGATGATTTCAGAAATAAAGAATAATATAAATTTAGACAATAATATTTCAGAGAAAGATCATACGAAAAGAGGGCTTTTTTTTTTAGAAACGAGAAATATGTATTTGTTAATTATGTAATTTTTGTAATTTTATATATACAAAACAGCAAACAACGTTATAGAGGGAGAAGCGGTCATTAAAAGTTTAGAAAATGCATGGTTGCAGGCGCTACGAATTTGTTTCCAAGCGGAGTACTAACGAGTGGAAATGAGAAATAGAAGAAATGGAAGAAGAAGAAAAAAGGAATTTGGTGGGAGGAGATACAGAGGGGGGGAAGAGAGGGCGCGAGAGAACGAAAATTTGATATTCATGAAGCATTTTAAAGTCGTGCCATCCGAGAAATGGGTATAGAATATAGACTGCTAAGCAGGGGAAGACATTTGTGGAAACCTATTTAAATGCGAGTTCGTGATTCGCGCCCTCTCGTTCGCATTTTCTCTGTGAATTCTGAGATGTCGAATTTTTGTTTAATAGAAAAAAAAAAAAAAAGATATTTACTTTTATAAATAATTTTTAGATTAGTTCCTTTATTAGTTTCGTTGCGTAGGAATATAAATAGCAATGAATATATTGTGAAACGTGTATGAAAATAAAACGTTTCAAAAATAAAAGCGATAAGAAATTATAAAATAGTTCATGGAAATTTATATATATGTCGATCTATTTATTATTTTATTAATCTGTATTTATTATTTTTTTTTTTTTATTTTTCATGTAATTTTTATATGTAATGATATTTTTATATGTAATCGTAAATGCTCAAAGGATTAAAAGATAGATAATAAAAAAAGGACAAAAAGATAAATAATATCTAGTTACAAAATTAAAATTTTATTCAATAATGCTCAATATTTCAATTATCGAGAAATTAAAAAAATGATTCTGATTATCCAACGATAACAATTATTTATCTTCGATGATTCTCGCGAATTCGTGTCGCCAGAATGAGGTCACGCAATTTAATTTCGCGCTTCAATTTCCCTTTGCGAAATTTTTCCGATTCAAATCCACCCGCTGAAAACCGGTCATTAACTTTTGCGTTCCCTAATTCCGGTCGCGCGAGCGTCAGCATATTTCATCGGCATATATCGTCGTTCCTTGTTTCAAGCGCGTGATGAGCCTAGTGACATCTTAAATCGTATCGTTCTCCCGCGATAAATTCAGATATTTTTCGAATTTTCAGATCGTGGACGCTTGATAACGAGACATCCCTTATGTACAAATCGCGGCGCTAAATTGAAAAATTTCGAGAAAAGGAAGCAGAGTAAAGTATACGCGGGCAAGGATCAGGAGACGATGTGCGCGCATATTATGAAAGAGTGGGGGAGAGCAGCAGCGCGTCCGTTGAAAAATTATAATAATCACTTTAGAAATTAATGGTACCTCCGCGAAGGCACGGGAGATCCGTGCCGGGAGTGACAAGGTGGACCTCCGTAGTGGGAGCAAGAGTAGAATGTGCAAATGGCGACTCCTCTCTCATCGGACCAATCGTTGCACGCGTCCGAGGGCCGAGTAACGTTGGCCACACCCATTCGCGACGTCAACGTGTCCTGCGCGTAGAGGTACTCTCACCCACACTCGTCGGACCAGTCACCACTCGGACGACGTATTCAGCTTACCACACACGTCTTCTTTTTCTTTTCCACCGGATCCCCGGCTTGTGACGTACACGCACGCGAGAAAAATCGCGATAAAACAGAAGATAGTTTTTCGTCGATTTTTTCGCAACGAATTTTGTTAATTCTTGTTATACTTTCGATCGGGCGAAATAATTTTAAGTTCATTGATCGAAAGGATTGTGAATTGGGAACAGATTCATTTTTTGGCGGGAACATTGCGAAAAAGTGAGCCGTGAGTGACAGTGTTGTCAGTGTTGTCAAAGACGCGATAGACGTCTAATTGAGCGATTCGATCAGTGAATTTTTTGATTTTTTAATCGAAACGATCGTTTTGTGGAATAATTGTGTGATAAAATATATATAGTTCGTAGAAAGTGATTGACTAACCTCTTATAAACACTTTTCTTACATTTTTAAAAAGAATTCTCGCCGATATAAAGTTAATTCGTTAAAACTCTATTTCATTATTTTACACTTCGATATCTATTAAAGTTTATCAATTCCATCATTCTCTAGCATCTGTCTAGGGACAAACGTTACAAAACGACGTGTTCTTGAAAAACGCGTATCATATCAAGGATCAACGAAAATAATTACTAGTTATTTTCATTTATTAAAGAGAAAATAATATAAACGAGTGAATATTTAAAGTGAAAAATTGAGAGTTTAGCTCACGTGGCGTGTATTGATAATCGGTATCACGTTTGCGAGAAGATCGAGAATAGCGATTTCGGTAGTCGTTAGGCGGAGTCGTCTGGAAAGGTGGTCACGACGCAACAAACGGTGACGAGTTGTCCAGGAGGTGGCGAGGGCGGTGGCGGCGGTGGTGGTGGTGGAGGTGGTGGAAGCAACGAGAAGACGTTCCCGTATGCAGCCACAACGGGCACGGTAGAGGAGGTGGAGGCGCAGGAGGTGGAGGTAGAGGTCGACGAGGTTAAGATGGAAGCCGAGGAGCATCTCGCGAGGGAATACGTACAGGAGTTTGTTCTCGATCATCTCGATCCCGCCGACGTCAAACGGGAGGTTAGTGATTGATTATTACCACTATTATTATCAGATCGTACATAGGACATTCCATTTCTTTCCTTATTTCTTTCATAATTATAATTGTGAATGGTTTTATCTTATATATAAAAAATTGAAAGATTCGAACGAAAATAATTTTTCAAATCAATTTTTATTTTTTCTTTTTTCTTAAAAAAAAAGAAAAATAATTTAACATTTCTCTAAAATATAAAATATAGTCGTTATAATAATTAAAAAAAAGATTGAATCTCTATTTAACTTTCATACATTCAGTAATGAATTTACACAAATATTCTGGCTTAATGGATAATTGAATTTTATTTTATTTTTCGATTCTGTGATTATTTTCATTTTTATTTATATCGGCTTATCAGAGATAATCCTGTATCATTTGTTTTAAATAATAATTAAACTGGGGATGTTTTTATATATTTATGAGAAATTTAAATGCATAAAAATATATAAAATGGACAAACAAAAAGATATCTAAAATTAATCTATTCAAGTTTTTTAATTTATTTACTTTTGTACTTTATTTCATTAGTGTTCATAAAATTAAAATTTGTAGCCGCATTTTAGTAGATAATTTGTACAGGTTTTAAAATTTTATTTCATTTCACGATATATTGTCATTATTTTTCTTTTTATTTATTGAATTAATAAATTTTTTCTTTTTACGATTTTATAAATTTTTGTGATATAATTACAAAATGTTTAGTAAATATTCAATTTATTTAAAAGATGATTTTTTTTCACAAAAATAAAATATATTTGCATAATTTCTTTCTCTTAGTTATAATAAATATATCATAATTTCTAAGCAATAAAAATCTGTGATAAGATATTCCACATTTAAATCACATACATTAACCTTATACTAATCGAATATCTGTTGATTGATTCGAAACTTTCATCGAGGAGAGTCCATTGAATGAGGTCATTCACAAGTTAGTTTATCATGTTTTTTTTTCACACAGAGACAACAAATTAATTCATGTGCATTACACGCTGAAAATTTCCACTGAAGTTGAGATTGTACATATGTATGTATATATAGAATCACGTGCGCCGTTTTGCATTATATAAGCTTGAAATTATTACATTGTGTATGTATGTAGAAAAAAACATGAAACACATTTCTATATGAGTACTGGTTCATATAAATATTGAACACTTTTCGTATTCATTGGAGATATTAAATTTATATTCAGTGTTATTGTATACATTGTACGTTGATTGAGATATTTTATTCTTGTGAATTAGATGTAAATGTAATTGCCACATATGATATTAAATCGAATAATTTTTGAAATTTTTTCAACATCATCCAACATTTTAAAAACCTGCAAAAAGAAATTTGTATTTTAATCGAATTTTTTTAATTATAATAATTCAATAACAACTTTAATCTACATTATCATACTTATTATTTAAAGCTCTTTTTCTGTTCAAAAATTATGTAACTTCTATCTCTACTTCTTTATTCATATAAATGTACCATGATAGCATTCATTTGTTATTAATATAAATGAATATTCGAAGAACTCACGTTAACCGTCATTCACAAAAAATTATTTTTCAATAATTTTCATATTTACTTACACGATTATTTCCAAAATATTAACAATATCTAAAAGTAAATCCAATTAAAAAATCGTTAGTTTTAATCTTCATTCAATCCAGGATTTTCTAACCTCTTTTTGCAACGTTTAAATAGCTCGTAATACTTTTCCTAAAAAAAAAAAAAAAAAATAAAAAAAAAAAAAAAAAATAAAAAAAAAAAAAAAAAACTTAAAAGAATGAAAAACAGAAAAAAAAAGAAAAATGAAAGAAAGGCAAGAGATTAATCGATTGTTTCGTTTCAGGTACGAATCAGCTCCCCAATGATGGTGAACGGTAGCGTGGTACAATTACCTGGCCAGGTACAAACTCAAGGCCTAGCTCTGGCGCCTTTGACGCCGCCGGCGCACGAGCTCGAGCAACCCCATCCTTTATACGGGCAACCGCATATCCAAGTGCAGCACGGTGTCCTGGTGAAGGCACCTCCGGGTGCAGCGTCTCATCTGACAACCCTTTCGCATCCTGGAACACCACCGGATACGCCTCCGGTTTCGGCGTCCCCGCCGCCATTGCAATTGCATAGGAGCGAGCAGGATTCGCGCGAGAGAGGATTGTTCTTGCAACTGCAACAACCTGGCTCGATCGTACAAGATGAGATGCAACCCGGCACAGGTGGCATGGGATGGTTGACGCAATCTCTTAGGCAGGAACCGCTCGATCTCAGACCTCATTGTCCTCAGGAACCGCCGGAACCGCATCACGAAGCTTGGCCGAGTCATCATCATTTCCAAGATCTGCAACGTTTGCAACGTTATCCCAGACATACTGGTGAGTGAAGGAAATTTGGAAAATACTAATAGAACAAAGAAATATTAGAATTGAGAAAAATAGATTTTTGAAATAAATAAATAAAAAGAAATAAATAATTTAGTATTAATATAGAAGTTTGTGAATAAATTTCTCTTTGAAATGCTAATAATAAAGAAATATATATATTATTGTGAGAATTATAAGTTTGTATTAGAAATGTATAATTAATGATGATCAGTAATTGAAGATTCAATTTGAAAACATGTTGCACATTGATCTTACGAAATTTCTACGAATTTGACGTTGTATGTTTATGTTTTTGTTTTTTAAAAATATCATTATTTATCGACGTTTATGAAAACATTACAAAAAGTTATTGTTATTAAGTATTGTTACGAAGAATAATAATTTTGAAGTTTAAATATAATATAACATAAAAAAGCAATGCAAATAATAGATTTATATTTATATTTGTAATTATTTAAAAAATCTATTTTTCTCGACTCCGAATAAATGAATTTCCATCATTGCTCTGTAAAAAAAAAAGTATTTGAGGTTAGAAAATGTTATTGTCATAGGTGGATACATCACGATGTCAGGCCACATAGAATACTGTGGAGGTGCTGGATCAGGCGGCGGGATGCTTCCCGCGGGCGGAAGTGGAATTTCAGGAATGGAAGACAGTATGCAAGGAATACAGATGCAAAGACCGATGAGCGTTTGTTCAGTGAGTTCTTGTGGCGCTAGTGGACCGAGTCCAGCCCACAGGACAGGGAATGGTCTTTATCCAAATTGCGGGAATAATAATCCTCAGGAAGAACTCATGAACGACGAGCTGCTCATGTCGCTTTCCGTGCGTGAATTGAACAAACGCCTCCATGGTTGCCCGCGGGAAGAGGTGAGTCAGGTCTCTTACATTTTTAACGACACTTTCGCATAGGTAATGCCTCGCCTTGGTTTCATTCACAAATTTTTCTTTATTTCGCCTCTCGTTCTTGCTCTGATTCTTTCTAAGCTTTTCTTTTCAATTCAATTTTTTTTTATCATCGCAATAATATTTACGATACGTTATCCGTGGAAATCTTTTCGATAAAGATAGAGGAAAAGATGAAATAATTATGAAATCGATAGGATTCGTAGATAGATAATTTTAAGTGAAACGAGAGTGAATTGGTATCTGTGACTGCAGTAGAACAAGTCGTTTTTTCGTCCGACATCGTTACTATGTTCGATTACCTAGATGAGTGTAAATTTCTTTCTTTTTCAATATATTAATTTCCAATTTATGAAACTTTTATAAACTTCTTATCTATTATACAAATTATTTTATCTCATACATGATCTATGAACATTTGAAATTCCCAAAAGACTTGGCCTAACTCGAAATAATTCGAGTTAACGTTGACACGAAAAGGTTAGTTCATTTAAAAACGAAACATTTCAATATATTATAAATAAAATGTATCTTATTTTTATTTGTAAATTATTTAATTATTTACCTTGATATATTAACGATGTAAATGTAGATATAATGAATCTATTAATTTATCATTTAAACATTTTAAACACAATAGTATCTTCGAACGAATCCGTTCCGATCATTGACGATTCGATCCGAAGTTTGACCAGTTCCGATTATTGCCGAGTCGATCCGAAGTCGAATTACCACTCGTATTTATATCTCGAATCGAGTTTCGAGAATAATACGACAGTACGTATTAAGATTTTGCTTGATCCTGTTCGAATTTTTGCAGCTATTCCCAAGTTCCAGTTCACAAAAACAATTAACAAAACTGCATATAGGAATAGCAATCGAGCAGACAGAACCAATTCATCTCTTATTAATCCGAGATCCATAACGAATTCGTTCGTAAAAGGAATCCTCCTGTTTTGCGAAGGTCGTACGCCTGAAGCAGAAGCGACGTACGTTGAAGAACCGTGGGTACGCTCAAAACTGTCGTAGCAAGCGACTTCAACAACGGCACGACCTTGAGACAACAAACCGTAACCTGCAGAACGAACTTCAACGGGTAAAAATCGAATTGGCACGGGTCCAGCAAGAACGCGATCTTTATAAGCAACGATGCGAGATCCTGAGAACACGGCAGAGCCACAATCATAATCACAATCACAATCATCATCAGCAACAGGCATCCCAGCAACAAC